AATCGGTGAAGCCGTTTCGGAGTTACAGGTTTCTTTGAATTAAGCGGTTTGGGTTAGTTTGGGGAGTCCCCACGCTTTATTTGACAAGTTAGGCAAAAAGTTCATAAGGAAAGTAGTACGGTTTTTTATCATATTTTGACTAAACGTACTAAATGTTTCACTTATAAGACAATTTCTGTATAAAATCGACTTTTTAAAATACCGTTTGCAATTACGCCATCTAGTGGTCATCTGAGAAATTTAAAAATAATTTCCAGCAAATTCTTTTCTTCAAGTTTGTTTTTCGATCACTCTACAACACATACTTTCCAAGATACAGCCGCTTACCATCCTTATTGCGACACCCTGTATATTTCATGTATAATCTCCTATTCCTAATACTGACTGTTTTTGAAATATTTGAAAGTTTATGTAAAAAATTACAGCTGTAGCCACTCGAATAAATATTAGTCTTTCTATAAGCGAATATGGTCTACTTAAGTAGAGACTCAAATTTATTTGAGTTTCATTTCTTGTCGAGAAGGCCTTACTTTAATGGAATTTCGACAACATTTAGAAAACTATTAAAACGAAGTGTTGAAAAATAAGTTTCAAAATGACTTCGAGAAAACGCCAAAAACAGTTTTTTTCAAATCCTCCATTTTTGATAATTTCATCTTTTTCAGTATTAAAAATAAGGGTAAGTTTGTGTTACAATGTCTATTCCAAAAGTGTTTAGTTTTCTAAATATTGCCAATTTAATGTTTTCATATGGCTATTTTGCAGCATCTTTTTTTAAATCCTGCCATTCTTAGTTGCCATGACAAAAGTGGCCATTTTGAATACAACAAATACCAAAGGAATGGTTATAGCTGTCAGTTACCTTTTGCAATTAATTAATAATTATGCCCGGACGCATAAATTATACAAACGAAGATTACGTAAACTTATTTATTATCAAATTATAGATAATATGATACAGTTATATTAAGAACCGTTTATTAATTATTAATTATTATTGTATCAATTATACGTAGTTATATCCAGACAGTGGCGTGCGGTGAAATTTTAGGCAAGGGAAGCAATCTTTAAATACACTTATGCTGCCACCACTACTCCTACTACTATCTCTGGATTCCCACAAACTGCAAAATCAAACGTAAGGTGTATGCGCACAGTGCGTATTTAATCTACACAACTGCTTATCCAGTCCTTCATCCCGAAAATTTCATATGGTGACCGAGAAGCAGTCGGAAATATTGCATATCGAGACTCGTCTTTATCTATGACTCGGACTGTGATGGATCACGACGCGCGATGCGCCTACGTTCGGTTGCAGGCTGTATGTCTACATCGTCTTTTCTTGATGCTCTTGAGTCTGAAGAACGCGTCTATACAATGTTTTTTCCTTCGTGTATTTAACTTCGTCTGCTGCTTCCTACCCTAAAGATCTGTGCGGTATTTCCATTGCCTACTACGCTCCATTAGTCTGACCTCAGACGATGCCCGCGCCGAAGGACTGTATCCACACAAATTAATTGTATCTTTTTAGCACTGGACCTAGTTTCATTCTGTATTTTTCTAGAAATCTGCAGGTTCTAAGCATTAATATTAGAAAAAAGGAAGTACTGCTGTCGTTAGGAACTATTTTGTTCACTACATTTGATACATCGTTCTTACTTTTTCTTAAAATAAACGTTTTTCAACCGGCAGGTTATGTTTTCTAACAGCTGATTGCTGTTGGATACGAATGTCTACATGCCTTGCAGACAATTTGTGGATTAAATACACATCCCGACCTGTTAGTTCCTCGATTCTAATGATAAGTTAGCATTTTAAGTGTCTGCAGGTCACGTCGCACAATTTTCTCCTGTAGCGGATTGCTTTAAAGAAGACTGTGCATAGTTAAAGAGGGGTGAAAACTCTTAACAGAGAGGCAATGTCATTGAGCTAGTGTTCGCTACCTAAGACTCGCCTACTTGACTTAAAGATGTGAGAGCCAGTATTTTCGAATGCCTTTATTTGGCACTCAAAGTGGACTGTATTTATTTTATAATTATAATGACGACCACTGGGTGTTTTTTACGATACTTTATTTGTGCCTTTTTATAATCGGGGCTCTATCAACAACTACCTTTTTGTTTACAAACAACAACCGTTGCTACTGGTATCTCAAGCTTCAATTATTTTAATTCTTTTAACAGCACTAACGATTACCGATTCCTTTACAGCCAGTATGAAAGAGAAAACTTGCTGTGTATTATTGTAATTCTGTATATTTTTGACTGCGAAACATTAAATCTAACAGCTAAAGTTTCATGTGAGTTATGAGGAACGGATCTTGCATACTAAGTTTTACAACTTTCCAGTCATAATAACACACTACCTACTTTCAGGAATACCTTCAGTCGAAGTCGAAAGTTGTGGCTCAGTTTTAGGTCTGTAAAATTATGTTTATATGCATGTGATTATATATAAATTACAGGAATTTGTAGTTATTTTGTGCTCAAGTGGTAGCTTGGTATATCAGCTCCGACAGATATTTTCTAATTTTTCGGGACTCCGTTACTTTAACTATTTTGCGATAAGTACTGTATTATTACAGTACCTTATGGCCAAGAGCTGTATAGAGCCATTTTAATTATTCCCATCAAGAAAATAACAACTGCATACAAAGGCACCAGGACCAGGATCTATAGAGTTCACCTACAAATCATTTTCAAGTATAACATACGGTATGCCAACAACAACATAAGATTTACTAAGCGTACCGACTTTGCCCATCGATTTCGTGTGGGTGGGTCTTTTGGAAAGCGGAAAAACGAACATTTTCACGATCATTATAATTTATATATTCAGGAGCCCACACACATAACCTTTATTCTATAACATTTAAATACAAATAACAGGTTTTAACACAGTTACTAATAGGAAACCTGCTATCCGTTCACATCAAGTTTGAGGTTACCAAGACATTTTCGTCGAAAATAAAGAAAACTGCTAATAATTACGTTATGATTTCAGTGCAGAATCGTTACTAAGACACTCCTAAATGCAAATACATACCTTAGAATGCTTCTTTTTCTTCACTGTTAAGATAATCAGCACACTTTGGAAACTTCGTGTTTTTTGCTTAGATGCAGTCCCTGAATCTGTCTAATTTGTGACGTCACCACTTAAGGAGCTTATTTGTTATGTAGGCTCGACCCGTTTAGTAAGAATTTTGCGGTTTATTACACAATGAATAAAATAAAATAATAAGACTATTTTTCTAAACTTTCGGTTGGTCGACTTCTAGAGAATTCTAGGCGAAGCAATGTTTCCTTGCTTCCATGGACCGCACGCCCCTGTATCGAGAACATAAACCCGTTTTTTTCTTTAAATCTAAGGCTCTCTAATTTTTATGATTGCCCTTATGAATTGAATATGCACTGTTCAATTTGTTTAACAGCACAACGTGAAGGTTTTGTTTTTGTGGGCATTGAATGGCAAATGTGTCACAAGTTTATGATTTAACTTTACCCCATTCTTTTTGTAATACTCAACTTTACATAAATTTACCCTTATTTTTAATACTGAATAAGATAAAATTATCAAAATTGGGGGTATCAATTTTGAAAAATGGAATTTTTGCCGTTTTCTCAACGTCAATTTGAAACTCATTTTTTACTTTGATGGTAGTTCGGCAACATGGCTGACCAATATGCGATTTTCGGCTGCGCGTACCTTGCGCGCGGGCATGTGCGCGTGCCACAGCAGACTGTAGGGTAAAGAATTACCGAAGATATATAACTTTATGATAGCACTAAAAGTTACGAAGGTACCTTATAGAAGTCTCGAAGATATAGTACAGGGACCCTGTACAGTTTTAATCAGCTTTGGCCGCTAGAGGGCCAAATTTGAAATTGGTTGATTGGGCACGAATCTGACCATTGAAAAATGGTCAGATTCGTGCTCTCTTGCTCTGGTTGGTGCAGGCTGGTCTTTGCACCAACGAGAGAGGGGGCGTGGCTTAGGCTATTTACTGACTGAAACTGCCAGGGGTTTACGCCACGGCTGAAATTATCCAGACTAGGTCGCAGCAAAAGAGGTTTTTGGCTTCCATTCAGGAAGACCGTTTTTCTTTATTCAATGCCCCTCGAAGAAATATCCTGACGCTGTCGTACGTATGGCTAGCTGAAGAGTGCCCATGTTAGAGTACTGTCCAGGTAATAGACGACTTAGCGCGCCTATTTAGATAATGGGCAAAGGAAGCAACCGGCCGAACATCTGACAAAATGTTGTTATTTTATTTGTGCCTATACCAATCTGAATGTTGACAGCATTTGTTTTTGCGTTTTCACAGAAACCAAACAGAAACAACGGATATGTGGACGAAACGCTGTTCAACCAGAATAAACGCGATGGCTGACATAATAAATATTAATGCAAAACGCGCCCTGCGGGTGATTTTCTGTAACGAAGGACCAATATGTTTTATGGCCACATGCATGATGGAATATTGCACTGTACTGATACCATCCAACATTGTCGCCTTAACTGCAGATCGAGGGTTATCTGTGATTAGTGCCGTATCTGAAAAGACAGGAGTGCCCGTTCCAAAAATTGGCTCTCCTCCAGTTTGGGGCTTTGTTGGTTGTAATGAATATGTTGATGAATCCAGTATTATATTTAAAGCTCATATACTGAAACCGTACAAGAGGTGAGTGTTTAGTCGGAGCAGTGACGAATCAAGCGTTAAAAATTATTTTTTTTAAATGTGTAAATCTTAATCTGTGTTTTCTCAACAAACCACGTTTATGAAAGACATTTTGGTATTATTTTCTTATTTATTTTTTGTCACTTATCAGAACTTACTTGACTAAAAACTGAAAAGTTGTCTTAAAATCTCCCTGAATCCTATATTTTTCCGGTATGGTCTCCTTGTTTTTTTTTGTTGAAGTAATATCTTCTTATGGCACGGTCCAAGCCCATCGGAATGCGACGCGGTTATGACGAGCATAAATAAAGACTAGTACCCAGTTCTCTCTGACGGCTTCACCAATTTTGATGAAATTTTGTATGTATGTTCAGTAGGTCTGAGAATAGGTTGTTATCTATTTTTTATACTCCTAAATAATATGGGTGCTGCCATAAACCCCTATCTTTTAATAGCGATATTAGTAATTCAATAAATTTTGACACGAGCGATAGATGGCGACACTGATTGGTTCCCTCCCTTGGTGTTTTAGTGCAGGTTTCGCGGTCCCTACTGAAGCTTGGGATGAGGGCTTGGTTTGGAAAGTCCAAAACATCCACAAACTACCCCTAACTTTCGTTCAGTTTGTGGCAAACTTTGAAGTTTTATAACCTGATAACTAAAGCCATGCTAATAACTAGAAAAACAGTCAACACAAACACTCCAAAACTAACACTGAACAACACGCAAATCGAATACACAAAGGCAGTCAAATATCTTGGCATAATAATAGACTCTAAGCTAGACTTCTCTCAACACATAAACAAAAGTATTAAAACAGAAATTCAAACTGCCGCCTACCTACACCCTCTTCTTAATCGCAAAAACACACTCTCACTACAAAACAAAACTCTAATTTACAAACAAGTGATCAGAGCACAAGTTTGATACGGGGCACCTGTCATCAGCCAAATATGCAATTTTTTTTTTGTTTGCCCGGCGGCTGGAGGAATAAAAATCTTCGCGAAGACACCAAGTGTTCCGAACCCTGGGTAGTGTTGGATTCTTACCAACTAAAAAACCCCCTTTTTTGGTACTACGAGTTTTCGGGAGTTATCCTTTAAAACTTGTAGTCCTCTC